CCGCTCTTCATAGCAGCATTATTCATAATAGCCAAAAGATGGAAACAACCTAAATACCACTGACAGATTGAATGGATAAACAAGATGTGGTATATACATACAAGGAATAGTGACTTTGTTTGCCATCTCTTGACTCTGATTATAGAGTCTGTCTTTAGTCACAGAATTTAATTTTTTTCATTTTATATGATCAAATTTGTCTCTCTCATCCTCTTACAGCCTCCTTGGTTTTGTCTTTTTATTTTTTTTAATATTTATTTATTTGGTTGCACTGGTTGTGGCAGGCGAGCTACTTAGTTGTGGCATGCGAACTCTTAGTTGCGGCATGCATGTGGGATCTAGTTCCCTGACCAGGGATCAAACCTGGGCCTCCTGCAATGGGAGCATGGAGCCTCAGCCACTGCACTAGCAGGGAAGTCCCTCCTTGGTTTTGTCTTATTTAAGGTCTCTCTTATTCTAAAGTTTCAAAATACTTCCTAAATTTTCTTCTAATATTTTTTATTATTTCACTTTTTACATTTACATCTTTATCTCTCTGGAATTTGTTTTTGTACAAGGTTTGAGGTCTTCATTTGCTTCCTTTCAGTGATGGCCAATTAAGTCAAAACCATTTATTACATAAGCCACATTTTCCCCCATCAAATCAAATTCCACCTTTATCATAAATTAAGGTACATAATATATATATGGTGCAATGTTTATGAAACCACAAAACAAAATTATGTATTTTATGTTAGAGGAAAAGATCTGGAACAAGACACACCAAATTGATAATAGTGTTATCTCAGGGGGAAGGGACTTAGGCAGAAGGGAGAAGATGATTAAAGGAGTCTCTACAGATAAATACTTTATAAATACATGATAAAGACTTAATTTTTTATAAGAATATACTTACTATATTTACAATTTAAAACTGATTTTTAAAGAAAACAAACTATATACAATGAAGTGAGAAGGAAGACAAATATAACTTGGCCCCAAATCCTCCACTAGCCATCCATACCCTAAAACAGGATAGGTGTTTAAAATGTGCCATTTTGAGCAATCTATAACCTCCAAATATTTAATCAATGATCAATTCAAATTTATAAGCATTGATACTGTTTACTAGTTTCCCTAATATGACATTTAAAAAAGGAATCTTTTCTGCTCTGAATGAAATCCTACAGTCAGTGAAGTCAGTTACATGACCCAATTTAATTTTTAAAAACTTAAAGAAAAACAGGAATGC